GAGAGAACACTAAAAATTACAACATAAATTCTATTTCTAAGAAAAATAAGTAGTTATTATGATTAACAAATTTTGCACCTTTAAATAAAATACCTTTTTGTTTACAATGTTAAAAAAGTTAACCGAAATCCTGTAAAATAAATGATTAAAATTATCAAAATTATGTTATCCAAATTTTAGCTTATATATCCATCTTTACTGTAAGCAACATTATTTATTTAAAATGTTATTTCATCAAATTATTCCACATTCCCTGACTTCTAAAATAACTTCATGTCCTCATTAAAGAGATATGTTTCTTTGCATAAATATATTTTGTTCGAGATCTCTTGTAAGAATCGCCCTTAAGTTATTTCTGCTTGTTATATGTTACTTTTGCTCTGCCATTCTGAATAAACTTCACATTTTCTTATGGTATTAAAGTCTAGGGATTAGAAAAATGTATAACTGCCGTTTAAAAACATAAATTAAAAACAGTCTATAATTCCAACAGTAATTTTTGAATCATTATCTTACAGACAATAATAATTTATCATACCTATATATTGATAGTTATAATATACAGTAATATTGATAGTTTAAATATACAAATGAGACAAATAAAATGTGTATCACAGTTTAATAAATGGAAATCATAGTAGCTCAAACAAAATTAAAAAATTAATTCAATTATGATTACAGTTTTACAGTTTAAAGTAAAAGTAATCAAGTCCAAAAATTCTGTTCAAAAAAGTATTGGAGGTCTGTACAATAAATTAAGGAAAAAAATCTACTTGTTAGTAAAGTATGTAGATTCTTCGTTCCCGGAAGTGGCCATTATCTTTATTTACCTTTCCACAGAAATGAAAGTTTGATCTATAAGAAAACCGATGAGATATAGAAAAATGTTTTCTTCATCAATTTTCTTCAGATTTATTGCACATAATCCTATTAAAAGTGAATTATCCAATAACAACAATATTACATTCAACAGTTATTTTGTAATAAATTGTAATAATCACGTTCCTGCTCACCCTGTAAGTTTAAACAACAGTTATTTCTTTATATAACAAAAAACAGACAGTCCAGCAGCAGGATTCGAACCTGCGCTCGCTTCAAAAAGACATCTATGCTATGCGCCTCCCATATGTTTCTTAGGTACCTTGAAACACCGTAAGAACTGATTCATCTCATTTAACAAGTAGCTCTTCTTCCCACCATTCAATATACTCTAAATTACCAATAATGGTCGGATTCATCAACTACCACTTTACCAGCGGATTGTCCAATTATAGTGTTACTTCATGTATTTTTTCTTCTCTACTTCATTAGCATTGTAATTCCGCGTTATAAGATCACTGCAAACCTGAATAGCTAGATAACAGGAGGTACATGAAGCGTATTAAAGTCAGATGCGATAACCATTTGGCCATCCTGGACTGCGATTTTCTTAATTTTTTATGTTTTATAGTGTAAAGAGACAGAAAAATAAAAATTATACACATACTTGAAATTCTTTTATAAATGATTGATTTGAAAACTTTCTAATTTTCCAGTTTTAAAAATTTCTTCTAAATTCTTCTAAAGCAAAATTATTTTCAGACATTATATCTAGACATTCAATCACTCAAAACAGAAATCGGACACAATACAAGTTCACAGGATTTTATCATAACATATAACTTAAATATACAAATGAAACGAAAAAAAGAAGTATATCATATTTTGATAAATGAAAATCATTAGCGGAAACAGATATCACAGAGATACGCAACATCATTTCTACTAGATTTCAATCCTGACTATAGCATGGATGTTTGTTAGTGGTTCGGAATCCACTTTAAAATGTAGGTCCTTGTCTGTTTAGCCCTCGTGTCCACAAGATGACAGTAAGCGGCGTAACAAACCAAACTTAGATTTCAGTTCTTCAACTGGTAAGGAAAACACTTTGAGCTTGATATATCTCCAGCATAAAAAATCAAGAGAAGTAATATCAGGAGGCCGTGGTGTCGATCCCTCCCTTCCAATCCGCTGGCCCAGAAGTTTCTCGTCTATGAACTCATGACACCTAGTGAGGAGGTTCTTCATTTTGTTGATAAATAATCCGTGGTAAAATTCTCCTAACTGACGTGCGATGAATAGTTCCAGTAAGTTTAAGTAAACGTTAGAGGTAATGTTTTTTTCATTGAAGAACAAAGGTCTTATAACCTTGTTATACATGAGGCTTCACCACGCATTAACTTTAGGCTTATTTCTCAATATCTGTGCAGAAACATGTGGATACTTTGTTCGTGGAGTTGGCTATTGTCTTTATTTAACATACCTTTCTGCAGAAATGAAAGTTTGATCTATAAGAAAAACCGATAATATATATATATATATATATATATATATTATCGTTTTCATCATCAATTTTCTTCAGGTCTATTGCACATAATTCTAATAAAAATGAATTATCCAATGACAACAATATTGCATTCAACAGTTATTTTGTAAGAAATCTTTATAATCAAGCTCCTGCTCACCCTGTAAGTTTAAAAAAACTGGTATTTCTTTATATAAGAAAAAAATATACAGTCCAGGAGCAGGATTCGAACCTGCGCTCACTTCGAAAGCGAATCAGATATATATGCTATGTGCCTCCCATATGTTTCTGAGGTACCTTGAAACACATGATGAACTGATCCATCACATTTAACAAGAAAGCTCTTCTTCCCTCCACTCAGGTTACACTGAATAACCAATAATGATTGGATTTATCAATTACCACTTTTCCAGCGGATTTCCCAATTATAGTGTTATTTTATTTATTATTTCTTTTCTACTTAATTATTATCGATATGCCGTGTTATAAATTAACTGCAAACCTTTATAATAATATAAATAATCTTTATAATAATAAATATTAATCTTTATAATAAATTTTTATAATTAAGCTCCTTCTCATCCTGTATGTCTAAACAACAGTTATTTCTTTATATAACAAAAATTAAACTCTAGTCCAGGAGCAGGATTCGAACCTGCACTCACTTCGAAAGCAAATCAGATATCTATGCTATGTAACACCCCTATGTTTCTGAGGTACCTTGCAACACATGATAAACTGATCCATCACATTTAACAAGTGGCTCTTCTTCCCTCCACTCAGGTTACACTGAATTACCAATAATAATTGGATTCATCAATTACCACTTTCCCAGCGGTTTGTCCAATGATAGTGTTACTTTATTTATCATTTCTTTTCAACTTAATTGGAATCTAAATGTCGAATTATAAGCTCACTGCAAACATGAATGGCTAGATACTGGGAGGTACTAAAGCACATTGAAGTCTGATGCTATAACCATTCGGCCATCCTGGACTACCATTTTCTATGGATTTTATATTTTTATAATGTAAAGAGACAAAAAATTAAGAAAAATTATACCAAACCAGAAATGCTTTTATATATGATTGGTTTGAAAACTATTTAATCTTCCAGTTTCGAAAGAAGTCTTCTGAAACCAAATTATTGCCAGACATTAAATCTAGACATGCAGACACTCAAAACAGAAATCGGACACAATACAAGTTCACAGGATTTTTTCATAACACATACCTTAAATATACAAATGAAACGAAAAATGGAAGTATACCATATTTTGATAAATGAAAACATTAGTGGTAACAGATATCGCAGACATACACAACATCTTTTCTGTTAGATTTCAGTCATAACGGTGGCAGGGATGTTTGTTAGTGGTTCGCAATCAACTTTAAACTGTAGGTCCTTGTCTGTTTAGCCCTCGTGTGCACAAGATGACAGTAAGCGGTGTAACAAACCAAACTTAGATTTCAGTTCTTCTATTGGTAAGGAAAACACTTTGCGCTTGATATATCCCCAACATAAAAAAAAATCAATAGAAGTAATACCAGGACGCCATGGTGTTGATCCATTCCTTCTAATCTACTGACGCAGAAATTTCTCGTCTAGGAACTCATGAAACCTAGTAAGGAGGTGCTTCACTTCGTTGATAAATAATCCATGGTTGAAATTCGTCTAATTGGCGTGCGATGAATAGCTCCAGTAACTTTAAGTAAACGTGAAGGTAATGTTTTTTCATTGAAAACAACGATCTAATAACCATGTTATGCATGAAGCTGCACCACACATTTACTTTAAGACTGTTGCTCACCATAAGATGTGGATTCTTTGTTCCCGGTGATGTCCATTGTGTTTATTTACCTTTCCGCAGAAATGAAAGTTTGATCTATAAGAAAAGCCGATTGAATATATATATAATCATTTTCATCATCAATTTTCTTCAGGTCTATTGCCCATAATTCTGTTAAAAGTGAATTATCCCATTACTACAATATTGCATTGAACAGTTCTTTGTAATAAATTTTCATAATCAAGCTCCTGCTCATCCTTTAAGTTTAAATAACAATTGTTTCTTTATACAACAAAAATTAATCGAAGGAGCAGGATTCGAACCCGCGCTCACTTCGAAAAGTGAATCAGATATCTATGCGTCTCCCATATATTTCTGAGGCACCTTGAAAGACATGATGAACTGATCTATCGCATTTAACAAGTAGCTCTTCTTCCCACCATTCAGGTTACACTAAATTACCAATAATGATCGAATTTCTCAATTACCACTTTTCCAGCGGATTGTCCAATTACAGCTTCACTTTTTTTTTATTGCTATTTTCTACTTAATTAGACTCTGACCGCCGTGTTATAAATGAACTGTAAACCTGAATGGCTAGAAAACAGGAAGTACATGAAGTGCATTGAAGTCCGATGCCATAACCATTCGGCCATCCTGGACTACGACTTTTTTTGGATTTTATGTTTTTATAGTGTAAAGAGACAGAAAATTAAGAAAAATTATACACAAACCTGAAATTCTTTCCTATATGAATGGTTGAAAAAATGTTTACTCTTTCAGTTTCGAAATAATTCTTCTACGGGTAGCAAAATTATTTCTGGGCATTATATATTTAGACATGCAGTCACTCAAAACAGAAATTGGGACACAATACAAGTTCTCGGGATTTTTTCATAACATATATTTTAAATACACAAATGAAACGAAAAAAGAAGTATATTATATTTTGATAAACACAAATAATACTAACTGAAAAAAATTCAAATATTAATGTAACTATGATTACAATTTAAAGTAAAAGAAATCAAGTTAGAAAATCTGCTCAAAAAAGTATTGGAACACTGCCCAATACATTAAGGAAAATATATGAACTTGATAGTTGATATCTTGTTGCCCCCCCCCCTCTTACACTTTATGACATTTTGCAGTCTATTTGGCATGGATTTGGTCGATTTTGCGCAAAATGATCAGTTAATTTTGGCCCAGTTTTCGATCAGATGTTTTCTTAATTCCTGCTTGTTAGAAATACTGTGTTCATTGATTTTAGCTATAAATAATCCACACATGTTGAATGAGTTTAAAGTGTGGACACTGGTCTTAATCACACACGGACAGCGATAGAGGACCCGTAACTGCAAATATTAACAGCATGTTTTGAGTCGTTTTCCTGGTACAATTAAAAATATTTTGAGTTTCCCAAGTTGCTCGATCTATGCTTTAAATTTCTCTTGAGAATATTCAAATTTATTCATTCATTAAGTATAGCTCCCCACACCAGAGTTTGCCATGCAATCCCAGATTAATTGGCAGTAACTTCCATATTTTACATTAAGACTCAAATGTTTCATATGATGAATTTGCAATGACAAACGTGCATGTCCAGGATGGCCTAGTGATTATGGCATCGGTCTCCAATGTCCTTTATGTACCTGCTAGCCGTTAGAGAATCATGTATTTTAAATTATTTGCTGCGTGTGCGAGTATAAATTTCATTAAAAGGTAAAGCTTTAAACAAAAATATCGAATAAGAAAACCCTAGATTCGTTGAACTTTGATCATAAATCCAATTAGATGTTTGTAATAGGTTAGCCCGACTGTAGTCGGCAAATTCGTGGTCACTTCAGAACTGTTTTCCGCATAGTTTGTTATGAGTTGTTATGCTTGTTGTTATTCAGACTCGAGTGAGGCACATTTGGCAAGTTTGGATCAAAAAGGCACAAAAAAAAATCAAAAGAGGTCATGTGATAACAGACATATTTAAGCATTACATGAAAACATGACGTAATAGCGTTTCTTCTTCAAAATAATGTGTAGATATTCCCACAGTGCACACAAATTTTCCAGAACTGAAAATGTATATGAGTGTAAACACCAGTTTTTTTTATATATTAAAATTGAAAGGCAGTCCAGGAGCAGGATTCGAACCTGCACTCACTTTGAAAAGCCAATCAGATATCCACGTCATGTAATTTCCATCAACAACCTCGAAACATTTAAAGAATTACATTTCACCAGTACTCCTATTTACCTGCATTCACGATGCTTGATATTACCGAGAAGCAACGGATTTGACAATTACCAAACGTTTAATGGATTCAACAACTGCACCTCAAGCTTACTATTTAATTTAGGTTAGTTTTTGTCCGGGTCGTTAAATATCTTCTAACAACGGTATATGTTAACAAACTACCTGACAGAATGCACATGAAAAGGATTGAAGTCTGATGCCATAACCATTCGGCCATCTTGGACTCCTACAGCTTCTAAATTGCTTATATATTTTGTGGGGGTGAGAGTATTAATTTCCTGTTTTTCCTGTTAATACAGAAAATTAAAAACAAAATTAATACAAAAATTAATTTAAAAATGTTTGATTTGATCAAAATTTTAATGCTCCAATTTAGAAGGAATTCTATTATGAATAGCAAAATTATTCCTAGGCGTTACATCTAGACATATTAATTTTTCTACCTTTAAAATTTTACACAATAGTTGTTTTTCAACATTTTAGTTGAATAATTTAGGGAAAAAGTTTAATTTTTTTTCTTGGAATCGTCTAGGAACAATAACATTGAACAGTTATTTTGTAATATTTTTTTTATAATCAGGCGGCTGCTCATCCTGTATGTCTAAACAACAGTTATTTCTTTATATAACAAAAAGTAAACGATAGACCAGTAGGAGGATTCGAACCTGCGTTCACTTCAAAAAGCGAATGAGATATCTATGCAATGTGTCTCCCACATGTTTCTGAGGCACCTTGAAAGACATGCCGAACTCATCCATCACATTTAACACGTAGCTCTTCTTTCCACCATTCAGGTTATACTAAATTACCAATAATGATAGGATACATTAATTACCACTTTTCCAGTGGATTTTCTAATTACAGTGATACTATATCTATTATTTCGTTTCTACTTAATTAGGAACACCATGTCGTTTTATAAGTTAACTGCAATCCTGAACGGCTAGATAACAAGAAGTACATGAAGCGCATTGAAGTCTGATGCCATAACCATTCAGCCCTCCTGGACTGCGGTTTTAATTGGATTTTATGTTTTTATAGTGTAAAGAGACAGAAAAGTAAGAAAAATTATACAGAAACCTGAAATGCTTTTATATATGATTGGTTTGAAAATTTTTTAATTTTCCAGCTTCGAAAGAATTCTTCTAAAGCAAAATTATTTCCAGATATTATATCTAGAAATTCAGTCACTCAAAACAGAAATCGGACACAATACACAGGATTTTTTCATAACAAATAATTTAAATATACAAATGAAACAAAAAAAAGAAGTATGTCATATTTTGATCAATGAAAATATTTAGCGGTAACAGATATCACAGAAATACACAACATCTATTATTCTAGATTTCAGTCTTAACGGTGGAATGGATGTTTGTTAGTGGTTCGGGATCCACTTTAAACTGTAGGTCCTTGTCTGTTTAGCCCTCGTGGGCACAGGATGACAGTAAGCGACGTAACAAACCAAACTTAGATTTCAGTTCTTCAACTGGTAAGGAAAACACTTTGAGCTTGATATATCCCCAACATAAAAAATCAAGAGAATTAATACCAAGACGCCATGGTATTGATCCATCCCTTCTAATCTACTGACCCAGAAATTTCTCGTCTAGGTACTCATGAAACCCAGTGAGGATGTGCTTCATTTTGTTATAAATAATCCGTGGTGAAATTCTCCTAATTGGCGTGCGATGAATAACTCCAGTAAGCTTATGTAAAAGTTAGAGATAATGTTTTTTACATTAAGAACAATGGTTATATAACCTTGTTATGTATGAGGCTGCAACACATATTAAATTTCGGAGCGTTTCCCAGTGCCTGTGAAAAAACATGTGGATTCCTTGTTCCCGGAGGTGACCATAGTATTTATTTACCATTCCGCAGAAATGAAAGTTTGATCTATAAAAAAACCCGATGATATATATATAATTGTTTTCATCATAAATTTTCTTCAGATATATTGCAAATAATCCTATTAAAAACGAATTATCCAATAACAACAATATTACATTCAACAGTTATTTTTTAATAAATTTTTATAATCAAGCTCCTGATCACCCTGTAAGTTTAAACAGCAGCTATTTCTTCATATAACAAAATTTAATTTGCAGTTGAGGAGCAGGATTCGAACCTACGCTCACTTCGAAAAGCGAATCAGATATCTATGCTATGTGTCTCCCATATGTTTCTGAGGCACCTTGAAAGACATGATGAACTAACGTATCGCATTTAACAAGTAGCTCTTCTTCCCACCATTCAGGTTACACAAGATTACCAATAATGATTGAATTCCTCAATTACCACTTTTCCAGCGGATTGTCCAATTATAGTCTTACTTATTTTTATTGCTTTTTTCTACTTAATTAGAATCTGACAGCCGTGTTATAAGTGAACTGCAAACCTGAATGGCTAGAAAACAAGATGTACATGAAGCGCATTGAAGTCTGATGCCATAACCATTCGGCCATCCTGGACTGCTATTTTATTTGGATTTTACGTTTTTATAGTGTAAACAGACGTAAAATTAAGAAAAATTATACGCAAACCTGAAATTCTTTCATATACACTGTGTGAAAAAAGTAGAAGGACAGTCATTTTTTTTTGTACAATATGCTTTTATTTTACTGCTTTTGATCTGATTTTTATAGAGAGTTGTTTTATTAGAGTTTTAATTTACGTTAAGTGAAAGTTAAATGAGATTTTTTTATTTACCATCATTTTAACTTAGGAATGCAATACTTAATAACTTTGTGTGTGTGAAAAAAGTAGAAGGACACATTCAAAAAATCTATTTAGAAGCTGCTGGAAAGTTTATAGGTAAGTGTTTTTTTTCTCTTTTAATTCCTTTTTAACAAGAATAAAATATTTAGCTAGAAATTCATAGTTTTTATTGGTTTTAGGATGCCCAGAAGAATACCCTTAAGTAAGTTTCAGAAGGGCCAAATAGTTGCCTATAAAAATGAAGGCAAAGGTGTGAGAGAGATAGGACTGATTCGTAGCTGCCGTGCAAATACTGTTTCGAACTTCATAAGAAACCCTGAAAGTGACAGAAGAAAAAAAAAGACAGGAAGACCAAAAAAACTCACCCAACGTGATCAACGAAAAATCATTCGTGAACTCAAAAAGACTGGTGGAAGTGTCGGCAAGGCGCAATTTCAATCAAGAATTACACATGTAACCAGAAGAACTGTCTATAACTACATAAAACGCTCAAAAAAGTTCGTCTTCAAAAAACGGATGCACCATCCGAAGTGGAATGAAGGACACATGAAGAACCGACTGCAGTGGGCTAAAGACCACATGTCCTGGAGCTCAGAATGGAACTCCGTTATATTTTCCGATGAGAAAAAATTCAATTTGGATGGTCCAGATGGTTATCAGCACTACTGGCACTGTCTTGGTATTGAAGA